CAGCATTACAAATATACTTTGTGAAGGGGAAGATGGACATATGTATAATAATTATGAATATAAAGTTAACAAAGTCCTTAAATTTTGTCATTTTGCATGTCTCTTCGTACATGTAGTCTTATTCAGTAGGCGCTAAACCTAAATTTACTAATTTTTATTGCATTTCATTCCAATGGGAATCCGATGAGATGTGATGGGACAGGGATAATTGCTATGGGATGGGAATGGGACGGAAAAAATGTCTCATGAACAACCTTGGCAATACATCAAAGTTAAGGAATCTTGCATTTCAAAGGTGACTACGCGAGACATTGGCCAATCACTAGGCGACATCATTTTCTGTCAGTTTTTGCTATATATATGTATATTTTCTTCTTCAATGTCTATGAAACTGTTTCAATATTCACCACAGCCATTGTTTGTTTTATTTGTATTCTTTTTTAAATAAATTATATTGAAAGGCGGCTATCTCGCTTCTAAGTGGTAGTTTTGAGCACAAGCACATCATCTTATAATCTCTTTTTTTCTGCGACCCAAAGCATTACATTGAGGAATGCTAGAGAAAGTCACGTTTAGTGATATAAATTTTATTGTTCTACACAAGCCAAAAGCTTCCTTTTAAAAAAACTCTTGATTTCGCTGAAGTGCGATCGCGGAACTGTCACATAGTACGCCATTTTTAATTTTGATGATGTCACACGAAACTTCGGAGTGAAAACGAATTTTATGAAGCCCAAAATTTTTTTTGAAATATATCCAACAATCTTCATTCAAAATACAATTAATGCAATAGTTAAAGAGAAAATACACTATTTTCAAAACAAAAATACAACAACAAGAAGAATACTAAGAAGCATGAGAACAACACCAATTCAACAAAACGATACATAGGTCCATATATGCTTCTCAAACAGTTTGAAAACAGCTTCTCTGCATGGCGAGTTTATCTAAATTTAATATGTTAAAGAATGAAAGTTTACTGTTCTAATTAGACTGTTGTTATATTGTATGCACGGGTGGCGTTTTCTATTGTAAGAATTTTTTTGGTATTTTTCTTGTCAGATATTACTTGAAAGCACGCCAGACACAGTGGTTTGCCGTTATTATGAACAAGAAAAAACGTTTCCTACCAGTTTGCCTCTGCCACCTTTCTATTGACACTAATTTTATGATGAATTGTTATGTTTGACAGATTTTACAACTGGAAACGTGAGCAGGCTATCTTCAAAGACCGCGCGGCGCTAAATTAGCTCTGCGTTTCGTCACTGCTTGGTTCGCGTTTAAAAAAAGAAGAATCTTTCCACTAAAATAAAGGTACAAAACGTCTCTCCAAACTAGGAGTTGCTTGATGCGAGCAAAAATGGCGAAGTAGACATGAAAAGCGCAAGTCATCTCGTCGGCTGGGATCACAGGATGTCATGCTCATATTAGCCCGTGTAGACGTTTATGGATACAACATTGATATTCCATGTACATATATCATTCTCAACTTCGGGATTAGGAGAAGTTATTAAATCTGTATCCTCGATTGAAATACCTAAAAAAAAACTCAAAAGTGTTTTGCCTATAGATACATTTCTCTGTTAATTGTTTAGTATACGCTAAAATTGTTATGCGGGCAGCACGAAATGTGTCAACAGGCCCGCGTGCGGCCCGCAGAGGGTTTGGACCACCCTGATCTAAGCAATCTGAATCTCTCTTTCTTATATTCAGTTATGAAATGCACTCAATATAACAGCACTACTGTGTTAATACACACACGCTACAACACAATGATGTTCCTGTAAAGTAAATTGAGATTTTCAGGAAAATGGGTACTTTTTAAGGTAAAATGAGATGTTTCGGAAGTACATCTATAACGTCACTAAGCAGCCATACATAACTATTATTCACGTTTGTCAGTAACTTTGTTCTCTCATTTGACGTTGTTTGTCGGTTATTGCTGTGAGCTGTTAGAAGATAGGATTCATATTAACTTAGCAACTTATTTTTTGTATCCTCTGGAACTTATCTTATGCGTTCCCATTTTGTCATCTTCTCTGATAAATTTGATTGATTGTTGTCTGTGCCGGTTGTTATTGTCGTCCGTTAATTTCACTGTTATAAAAATATGCATTCACTGATCGGGGCGCTTCAAAATATGTAGAGATGATGACCTTGCACAATCTTAGCTACTCTTAGACCAGTGGTTCTCAACAGCCGGTTTTTATTTTTGTTTTCATTTCCACGTGTTTGAGTTTGTATACACAGATTTCGTCCGAAAGCGGTGATGTCTAATTTGAACTACGCAGCCAAAACTTCGATATATGAAATACAGTGTTATCCAAAATAGAGTAATATGTAACTGCAAACAATGCTATTCAAAAAAAAACGAACACGTAAATTTTATCCAGAATTACGAAATCTATTTATATTATTGGACACATTCAGTGGCCATAACGATCGTTTCAAAATTTTGTTGTTATTGTTATTTTCTTTCGTCATTATCATAAAAAAATCGCTTTTCTCTTCGAATACTGGACCAATTGCTTTGGAATTTTCAGTGGTTCAAGATTGATTTTTTTTTGCCAGAAGGCTATTACTTTCATTTATTCCTGAATTTTCTATGAATCTTATGAGATATAATATTTCATCCAAAATTGCGCTGTATTAATTTTTAATTATGGGAACACGGTTTTTAATCCGCCAAGCGTGACGGCTGACTGTGAAAATTCTTGCGACTGAAAACCCGGAACTTTTTGAGGGTACGGTACCGGTAACGTCAAAGGTAAACCCTGCTTCGCTCTAGTCCACGTGTCCATATATTTGAGCGTTGCTCTCTTGTTTCTATTTTCTAATCAAAACAATGATGGGAAGTGCGGAATAAACTTCTGCATTGGAAAGCATAGTAGACGGCGGTAATGCATCGTATTCAGGACTAGATATATGATGTTGTAACATCATTCTAAAGAAAACTCAACACCAGTTATGTCGTAAAAAGCTTCAGACAAAGATATTTTCCTATTTACTGTCGTTATCTTCAAATAATTATGCAGGAGTGCTATCACCAAGCAATGCGAAGTCCAAAGATGTATTGGGTATAAACGACGATGTTACGTTTTGTCACTGTTCACTAAGAATCATTAATTAAGCTTCTCAAAAGTCTGTACACGGGTCCAGATTATCATTCACGTAAATCAGTGACTATTTGTCGCGAACATATTATGATTCTGCTTTGAGTATTTAAATTCTCTATCTAGTTCCCCGACGTTGTCTCGCGCGATATGGACGTATGCTGAAGCTTTCAATTATAATGTTAGTTTCGGGCGTTCGTTTTCTTCAAAATTATCTTAAACAAATTAAAATTTCAGTCCTTTCATTTGAATTCACATGCCAAACTATGAAAGACATACTTGGGATAGTGGCCGCGAAACATTTTTTCCAGTTTTCATAGAAAACAACAGCAATGCAATTAAAAACTGCTCACCCAAATTTATGGAAGCGTAATAAAAGATGAATCTTGGTTTTCTGTGCTCTTGTTTAATAACCTATTAATATAATTCTTGTCACGGGATTGGGTGGAGGAGGCAAAGTACATAAATCAGAAGACGTGAAAATATACAAGAGAGCAACGCCCAAATATATGGACACCTTAAGCAGAGCGAAGCAGTCCTCCTTACCTTTGACGCTACCGGTACCCACCGGTACCTACGACTTAGCAAAGCAAGCATTTCGTTACACACCACCGACGTTCGATGAGCACGTGATCAAAAGAACAAAAAGGGTGCCAGCATAAAAACAAATTAAATTACGTGTCAAAAAAAAACGAATCCCACAGTGCTATCAGAAATATTTGAAATAAATGAAAGTAATAGCCTTCTCAAATTTTTTTTATTTTTAACCATTGAAAATTTCAGAGCAACTGGTCCAGTAATCAAAGAGAAAAGCGACTTTTTAGGTTTTCCACTAGGTGTCCAAAAACGTGTCAAAGAACAAGAACAACAATAACATAATATTGAAACGGTGCAGAGGTCCACTAACGTGTCCAATATTATTGAATTAGATTGCAAATCTTCTGAGATACTTCAAGTTCGGGAATATTGCTGCAGAAACCACTAGCAGATACCATTTATAATAATGAGTATGTTTTAAAACTGTGAAAGGAAACTAGCTATAAGACAGGAAATTTTTAACTGCTTTTTAAAGGTTTATCAAAAACAGAATTAACAGGTTTACAATCAATACTGTAACTTGTCAGGGCATTATCCATCTGACACCCGCCAAAACTGTCGGACTCGTTGGATTAAAAGTTGTATACTCATCGGCATCGCTATGTTCCAATAGGTTCGTAAATAATGACGTTCATCACCAATGATTAGAGACCATATTCATAAATTATACAATGTAAATCTCAATGTTTCAGTATATTATTTGGGGTATATAAATTAAAAAAATATAAACTGTTTAAGGTTTTGATTAGGGACTTTTTCGCGAATTGAATATATACGAACATATTGTGTACCGTTTTACGGCATACTTACCAACATATTTATGAAAGGTCAAACCGTCTTCTGGTAAATATTATAATTAAACAGTTATCTGGTTGTATTACAATGCTCAGGTATATTTAGTGATTTTATTCGAACTATAATTTGGTTGTGACTTGATTTTAGCTATCTTTAGGAGGAAATATGATAGATCTTAGAAATGGAATAATCATAAGTAAAAGATTTAAAATCAAAATGAATATGCATAAAATAGATTTTGAACTGAATTTTTCCTTTTCTAAACCGGTTGTTTTCTACTTCCTCATTTATTCCTGCGCAGTTTCTCTATAACGATACCAAACTTAACTTGTGTTATTTAGCCCAGAACTGTACTTTTTGAATCCACTGCACGGTACTACGGACTGTATGGGCACTGTTAACGTCGGAACGATTTGCAACATTACTTTTGATGATATTTATTTCAATATTTCTTTAACAAAACAGTGCTGTGTGCATCAAACAAGATGAGTGGGATAACGATAATTGGAATGATATTCGCCAAGGTATGCTGAATATAATGTAGGTAAAAATACTACTTGATGCGACGCGGATTGTGATGATAGAGTAATTAATCCAATTAAGTTTTATTGTACTAAAATATATTTTACTTTGTGAGATTATAACGGTTATATCTTTAAAATAATCTGAGTGGCAGCATTGCAATAGAGAGGATCGATGTTACGAGTAGTAGGACAAGTAGGACACGTGGTACAAGTGGGACACGTGGTACAAGTGGGACACGTTGGACAAGAGTGACACGTGGTACAAGTGGGACACGTGGAACGAGTGAGACAAGTGGGACACGTGGTACAAGCGGGGCACGTGGTAAAAGTGGCACAAGTAGGGCACGCGGGACAATGACACAAGTGGGACACGTGTTACAAGTCGGACACGTGGAACAAGTGAGTGTGCGATGTGTGAGACGGCATGTAAATAAACAACCGAACAAATTGTTTCTAGATGATAATGTGTAAACAAACCTATGCTGGCATTTCGTGCTTAAAAATATATAAAACAAACTATCGAGTGATCGCCATAAAATCGACTATATATATAACGTCTACACAAGAATGAAAACATCAATTGTCAGTTCTAAAAGGTTTACAGCAATGAACTATTCAGATTATACAAAAAACGTAATCTTGATAGTAGTAGAAATCTAGACGTCTCTAGCAACTTCATGGTACAAATTTTTTCTGAAAAGTAAATATTTCTTCTGTTGAATGAAAATCTGTTAAGTAAGATTTTGTTTCCATCCTTGGATCGCATATGCCCGGAGTAGTCGATCGCATATGATATCGTTTGAGAAAACCCAACAATCTACTCTGGTGTAGAAGAATTGCAGAAGTAGCAGGTTGGCCTACATCAGAATGACCATTTTAGTGTTGATTTTCATAATTTCGATTAAGCAAGATTGTATGTACAGTCCTACACCAACGTCATTATGCGTAGTCGCAATCCAACGAAACCATCCCCTTGTGCATAAATTTGTTTAAGTACGTAACAGTTTGTTTCCAGTTTGTTGAAGACTGACAACCGCATTTTCAGCTGAATAAAAAAATAAAGCACAGTGCATATTATGTAAATTCATAAAAGCATGGATTTGGTGTGGTTATAATATGAATGTAGACTGATCTCTAAAATCACTAATTAACTGGTTACAATTTGAAATAACTTCGATATATCACTGTAATATAACACTGGTTACTAGAAGTGCCGCTAAACTTGCCAATGTGCGCCAGTAAAATATGACAAAATAGGTTTCTTTATTGCAGATAATTAAACTTCTTTTTCAATAAAGAATTAGTTCGGTCGAGGGTTTGAGTTAGTTAGTAAAGCATGTTTCTGTAACAGGTGCTCTTAGGCGTAGATAACACCACATTTAGGTGATTGATATCTTTGAGATAAAATGAGCATAATATATGTTCCACTGAAAGACGATAATTACTAGAAAATAAATTTATAGAAAATTATATCAGGTATAAAATACTATAAAAGGATTTCAAACCTTGTATTCTTCTCGGAAAAGTCTATTGTCATCTGCATTCTTGATAGTCATTTTCAAAATCGCTTGCTGTGATTGGATGAGGTTGGACGTCTATTTGTGCTTCTACCTTTTCGTAAATATGATAATCGTCCTCTCTGGGGGGAACTGAATAGGTTCACAGGTTTACCAATTCTAATCTAACATCGGTATAGAAACTTCAAATAGGTGTTGCAAGATCAATATTTCTGCAGGCGAGTATTCATCATTGTTACAGAGACAGAGTTATATTTTATGATCGTTAGAATTGATCCAGAATGCAAATATACCTTGATAAACATTGTGAAAACTAAAATTAAACTCACGTTCAGGTAACGGTACGCCAAATTCGGAATTCTTTTTCTTATTTTGTTTACGACGCCTGAAAAATGTTCAAAATATTTATATTCTTTTAGGTTAGTCATGATGGCAAGTACCGATTCAGTGCTGATTAATTGTATAATGTTACAGTGTTACACTAATACAAGCAATGATACTCATCCATTCAAATATGGATGGCACAATGCCATCGTACCTCTTGAATATACCTACAATCTACATAAAATGCAATATAAACAAAGAAAATAACTGCTCTTACTTAATTGGATTAATTCCGAGAGTGTGCATGTATGCTATAGATATATAGATATTATTGATAACAGATATATATATATATATGTATATTTCAAATCATACAATAAAACGTACAGATTTGCATTCCGTTTTCATTGCTTGACAATTAGAAATCTTTTATTTATAACAATAAAGTTAGATACTGGGCAGATTTTGTCCCTAATTCGTTCTTGACATTATGAACCACGCACAGATTATTAATGTATAAATAAGATGAACACCCACAGCTATCCGATATACTTGTTCGTGGTTCTTTTAACTTGCAATGTGTGGATAGTTGCTTAAGTTTCGATCCACCTAATATTGGAGTCGGAACAAACATTGGGACATACCTGTAATACAAGAAACCTAATACAGCAGCAATGATCACGAGAATAGGTATCACCACTCCAATAATCCAAAGAAGGTAGGGCTCTGAAATTGAAAGTAATTTGATTGGAATTACTAAAACCACGTACGATGAATTATTTAATCCAGGCTTAACTTTTTTATATGATCGTAAGTGTCCTGTTAAAATATAAGATTGTGAAATTCAAATCAGAATCGGTTGAAGACTTTCTTTTTCATTCAAATTTATTTTATTGTAAGATCTCGGGTAAACTCAAATTCGAGGTAACTTTATGAATTGAATAGAGTTTGAATTGAATAGTTATTTTAAAGATTATGATTATATATATATATATATATTAACTACAAATAAATGTTTTTTAACACAATTCTCGAATCTTGAAAACTTCATTCTGTGTAGTAGGATACGGAGGATTCATAGAAAAATAAAATTGTATGTATATACGACTGAAACTGAACAATATACAAAATTGCAATATATATATATATATATATATATATATATATCTAATACGGTAGTTAAGTAGACATACCGTGCTAAAAAAGCGACGGTCATGTACACGGAAAAATTGGGTAGACATTTTCCTGTCCGCTTAATTATTCCACGTTCCATAATTGAAACATTTTGCGATTTTTTGCTCAAATTACTTTTTTCTATGATAAAAAATAATATGTTCTTTCAATATTTTCTAAATATCTGCACATTCTCGTCAACTTTAAGGGGACAGTAGTTCTGCTGGTTTATAATCAACGGGTTTAATTTTCGTACATTAAGTTGACATTTTGTTTATGCAAAAATCTTTAAATTTTTCGGTATATGTCTTTACGATTTTTGGAGAGTAGGTTTGATAATTTTGATACAATAACAAGGCATAACATGAAGATCGTTCGTTCTGTTTTTTGCAATATAAAGTCAATAAACTGAAAAGGACCTCAATTCCCAACTCCGTACTAAAGAGGCTTTGTGTCGCAATAGTAAAACTGTCGGGTTCGCCAAGAACTTTACCACGTTTGCCGTTTTGTTCGCAAGTAACCTGGACGCCGTGAGGGGATTGGGATCTTCATGAGTGCGTGATTGCAGAAACTTAGATAAAATAGAACAGTTGTGTTTGGAGAAGCGATAATAAGTCGTTTGTGTTAGGTGTTATCAATTACTCAGTGAGTTGAAGTCGAGTCATAATAACTTGAAATAAGGTTTTCAACGTCACCGAGGAAAGCTGCTGGAAATCATCACTCATCGGATAAGGTGATTAGTCATAACAATTTTAAATATTAGGGATACTATATGTTTGGTGTTGGATTTTTTAAGTAATCCAGATTATCAAAATATAGACTACTGATACTGTTATGCTTTAACTGGTCGTAGTTCTGATCTGACCATCAAAATAATGCTACGACTGGGTTTGCGTTTGTAAGAGTGTGTAATTCAGAAGGATTTCTAAATCCAGATGACAATACAAACGAAGATTGTGAAAATTCAATGAATTCAATTTTTCTCCTAACAGAAGGCGATACGAGAAGCGAGTGGTTGACGCCACTCAGTATAGGTTTCTATGGCTTGGTATAAATAAAAATATCTAATACACCGCTCATATTAGATTAGAATATTTTATCTTCAGAAAACAGTTTTGAAGAATTGCATTGCTAGCAATTTTGTTTTTGTGATTTGGCACATATTCCTGTGTTATTTTACCATCTTCATCTAGTTATTTACTGGGCTGTATTTTTGTTCACATGTAGGTGACTTTCCAACGAGATGGCCTACGTTTCAGAACTTGGCAGACGGAAATGTGAGTAGTGATTCGGAAAAAGCTGTGCCAGGAGGTGACTAAATGAGTTCGCTATGCTTGTTTTTTTTATTAAATACGGTATCTCAAATTGATACCAATGAATGGTAATAAACCAAATCATATTATCACTTGTAGCCCATCACAAATAGCGCAGCTATCTACGAATAATTGTAGTGCAGCGTTTAGAAACTCTGGTTTATTTGAGTAATAATGCAATTCCCCATTTCAAACATTTCGTTTGTTCGGTCAATCGAGTACCGTAATTCCGAATTGGACTAAAACACTGTGATGATGTTTTGTGACTTATGCATGTATTTTTGACCAAAATTTCAGATTAGTCAACAGACTATACCGCACCATCTTCAGAATCACTTTCAATAAGCAGTCTAATTGATTTCAAAGAAAACCATATATATGGAAAAGAAAAAGGCTGTAAATCAATTCCAAAAAAAGCTTCTAAATAAACGCGAACCAGAAAAGAAACGACGAAGAGAAAAATAATTGCACGGCTTTGTATATCTTGCGAGAAGTTTATTGTAAAGCTCTAAGACATCTCTATATAATTCATAAAGATGAACCGGCAGTGAGCATAATTTTGTCTCTCCTCAACAACTTAATCTAGTGGGCATATCCACATTCGTATACATACTTGGCATACCTTTTTACAATTTAATTATAAAATCAAAATAACAATCATGTTTTTGTATTCCGAGTTGGTGCAAAAATTTTAAATAAATTGTGCAAAGATTCTAAATTGATATTGGGGTTCAATATTTTCATGTTGATTGCTTGTATACGTAGTTGAATGTATAATCACTGCTATACTTAGGTGCGCCCTGAAAGGTAGACATTTGAGGGTGCTCCCGAAGTATGCGAACAAAGATGGCGGACATCGGAACGTAACATGGGTAACAGGTTAGGGTCAGACAATAATTTTTTTCAATTTTCTTTATTTAGTCCTATTATCAGTTCGAAGACTAGCCAAGAGCTTCCCGTAGTATTTATACCTAAAATTATGGCCTAACCCTACCTAGTACACATATTACATTCCGATGTCCGTCATCTTGGTTCGCATACTTCGGGAGCCCCGATTTGAGTTATAATTGGTGTAATGTTTCTCATTTTAGTTGACATGACAAAAAACGTCCCTTAATTGAACATTTGAGATATGTTGTGTGTAATGTTTCTCGATATTTTTTTAGAATTTCGTGTTTTAATTACATACATTCTGAAAAGGTCGGATGGTTGAAATTTTTTTTGAATGCTTCTTAATATTATTGCCATTCCAAAATATCCTTTTGCATTTACATGACACACTTACGTAGCTGAGTAGATGACGATTTGCGATATATTTTCTGTATTGTTCAAAATGTTTTAATATTTGTCACTCTCAGTTATCGGAATAGGTCAACATTTGAGATAAATTTTGAGCAATTTTCCACAACATCAAAATATGATTAGTATTCGAAATTTCGTATTTTAGTTATATTTCACACACTTAAGTGGTCGAATAAGTTGACATTTGAGATATATTTTGTGTAAGATTTCTCAATATGACTTCAGGAATTGGTTTCAATAGTTGTATGCCACACTTAGGTAGTCGGATATGCGGACATTTGAGATATATATTTTGTGTGTAATGTTTCTCAATATTATTTCAGAATTTTCATTTCAG